CCTTTAGGAACCTGCAATTTAGGCCTCCAAAAGAGAATGTGTAAATGGCTCCAATCACCATATGTCATACATAAAGATTGAATATCACAGGCACCTTAATTTTGTTAATTGCTGAAAATGTTGAAAAACGGAAGCAATTTATATCGGACTTTACATATAGTAGTATAATAATTGCACATGTGAACTTTAAGTTTCAGCATGTGTGCACCATTGAATTTACGGTTTATCGGATGTGTGGTATTGTAGATAATTCGAATATATATTAAAACATTTCGCATTAACATATAAACCACTGAACTTGAATAGTAACCTCAAACATTTTCGTCCATGTCCACCTGTGACGAAGTATTCTCCAAAGCTACTGGATTATCAATGCCTGCTGCAATATGGGACGTATCAGACTGATTTACCGCGCCAATGTCAACTGTTGATGGTGAATTCGTACCACTCAGTCTCAGCTTAAGTCGGTAAACAGCCCAGAGCAACAGCTGTAAAATGAAAACCATGGCGAGACAGCCAACGACAGTAGCGGATGCCATCCCTAGATTGGCAGAGTAATCTAATATAGGGTAGACGGCTTCACCGGTAACTCCCCAGTAAATTAGCGTATTGATGATGTAACAAACTCCAAATATGACAGAATACAATACGTGTATATAGCGCACAGGCATTGCTGCGATGGCGACTTCCATTGCCATGGCAACCAAGTTCATAGCATGGACATGGAAATCATACACCTCCAAACCGTACTCGGGTTCATACAGAGAAGCCCAGTACATGATGGTAATTATGGGCGCGTATATAGCTGCAAGATTGTACAGTAACCATGACAACTGAAAATACCATGGCGTTTTTTGGTTTAGTTGACCTGCAAAAAAATAAACAGGAAGTAATCGGTTTACAGTAAGCCTAAGTTGTGAACATGCACATAATAACAAATACGGCTGTGTCTGTAAATGATAAAAAGAATGTAGCTCGTAAAAGAATTCATGCAGTGGTGGTTCACTGCATCACACACGGAGTAGAATGCAATAATAATACGAGCCGGAATCCGATTTCCCTTTTAAAAAAACCCGGATAACATGGACATGTCATTTACATATTTATTTACATATTTATTTAAATATAAACAAAAACACGTCACGTTTTGACAAAAGTGATCGCGTTTTATGACTGGAAAGGGCACAGCTCGCTTGAAATGAATGAAGGTGGTGATATGCCTTGAAGGGTAGAATACAATAATAATACGAACCTGTGCCCGACTCTCATCGAGTCTGAATGTAGATATACACAGTAGTGGAGGCGGCCGTGATGAGATAGAAAGTGACTGTCATAAAGCCCCAATTGGTGAGATAAATGAAATACATAGCACCACTATCACTGAAGGAAAATGCCATGGTGTATAACATCCATGCTGTATAGTATAATGCCAATACAACCCGGTATATAACAAACAATATTTGTGGAATAAACTGCCACTGTAAAGATAATAGTATTATTTTTTAACGAGACATAATGATTGTTTCGCCCGCACGTTTGTGACTTGAACTATGGCACTTGGCTAAATAATTAGGTCATATGCTAGAAGGTTAGTGAGACCACCACTAAACAAGACATTGGATGGCAGTGGATTCCGCCGAATGTTGTGTACACGTGTATACCCATAAATACCACTGTAGTCGAGTTAGGTGCACCAGGTATACAACACGACGATGTGTGTTGTACAACGACTAAGGTACCACTATAACAAATCAAAGTTGTGTATGTCTTATGAAAATGAATACATGTACTTCGTATTTTTGTCAGGGAGAGACTGTGGCTCTAAACGCGTTTATTGATCGCACAATATACCAGTGTACTTACTCACATAGTACTACGGTGTTGCACGACGGGAAGATATGAAATGAAAATCGGCGAATTCTCCGAAAATTGCTGAATTGCTGAAATTATTTTATAATAACGCACGCACCACATGTGTAGCCAATGAGGGAATGACGTTCAGCATTCTGGAGGATGAATTGGTAAATTAAAATGCTACTGGTGATTTTCCATGTTCAAAACTCTGTATATGTCGTGACCTGACCCTAATACCTATACACCTACTTTGCTCCAAATAATGTCCTTATAAACATGTCAAGTGTATTATAAAGTTAACAATACATAGTTACGCACATTATATTGACATTTTCCAGACCTAAAAGATGTAAAAACGAACACAAATTGGGGAACTCATGTCGGAGCAAATACCGGCACATCAACTCAAATTAGGGTTGATCATTAAAAAAAAATAGATAAAATAAAATGAAAAATGGTCTTCCAAATAAGTATGAATATAACGTCAGAAATAACGTTAAAATTGGTTTTCTAGCTAATGAATCGAAATTACAATACTGGAAGTGAATCATTTGAAAACAAAATATGACAACGTACTAGTACCCGGTTTAAATGACATCAACCATGAATCCCCACTCTCTGTTATACTCACTGAAAAATTACAGAATGTGGACTGAGGGTGCAACTGCCTCATCCATAAGACATACAGGCTTCCGTAAACACTATTGTATGCCGGGAAATATTTTTATTCTTAATACAATTATTTTAAAGTAATTAGAACACAAAATATGCATAGTGCATGTAGCGTACAGATTTTGAAAGACATTCTATTAAATCAAGCGTTGTTGTGGTTAAAAAAAGGGTAAAGATCACTATATACTAGTTAATGTATAAGCATGTAAAGGAGTGTGTGCGTTCGAGTAGAAGACTTGCCTCTGGTTTTATGTGGATGGGGTATTGGGGTACATCTACTCTCTGTAGATGACCTTTCATTGCTGGGTAGCTCTGTGCTGCGATACAACGTGTATGGAAATTATAATTATATACCACAATTAACAAGATTTTGTATTCCTATTTAACAATATTTGATAAATCAGTATTTATGTCTGCTTTATTCAAGTCTACCCCCCGAAAATAGAATATGTGACATGTGTGAAATGAACTTTGCTAAAGAAAAACATTTTGTTAGAAGGTTCGATTTAAAAAAAATTGAGACATAAAATTATTGCAAAATACTACCTTAACCCTCCTGCTGTATATAGATGTTGTATGGTTACTACCTCAAAAATACTACAAATTTTGATTTATAGAACTAGATATTTATTTATGGTTTTGGACTTCCAACCTATAATCAGATAACGAGAATTACTGACACTATAAATTAATAAAATTAAAATATGACATATTTCATGGTGTCAAAGTTCACACACATGCATCGTCATCAATATGGTGTACAGTAACGTGTTACTTAAGTTCGATGTTTAATTGATCTTTTTGTTATGGTTAATTTAAATTAATTGCACGAAATACGCAAGTCATTGTGTGTGTTGAGAAAGTGGGTTTTGAATAGCTGTCAACCAGCTGAACACTATGGGTGATTGATTGAATTGGCATAGCAACATGATGATCCATAGAGTACGATACTTAAGTTTTTAGCATTCAATTTATATTTACACTATTTTGGCTAACAAAGGTGTGTTGTAGTATGGTGCTGACAACAGTCGGTGTGTTTACGGTTTCAGTTTAAATTGGCCTTATAAATAAATAAATTTTTATTTGACAAATAATCGAATCAATCCAACATTCCCATACATACAATTCACGTCAGTTAAAATTTCAAAAAGTTTTGGATTTGTTTCAGTTCTAAGTCGATGTATTACCAATTCGTATACTGGGACGACATTGTCGAGTAATGTTAGAAAAGAGATTGAGCTCAAGACTGACTGGACTGCTATACGGCGCGGGTAAATATGTGTGCACTGCACATCGCCACACCTGTATCATAACGTAAACCTTAATTGTGCCACAATTGTGGTTACTCCATTAACAACAACAAAAATAATTGATATCAATACTGTACCTGTGAATTCACAAAAAACGAGTTGTTCTCGAATCGCAATCCTAAATCAGACTTCTTTACCGTACAGTATCCCATGATATGACCAGCTTCCGTGACGAATATTACAATCAATATACCAACCGCCCTCTGGCGTCCTTAATTTTTAAGCATACCACAATGAACGTCATGTCACGCTTAACTGGAAAGTTCCATCACCCCAATCACATAGACCCCACGTGAAGTGGCCGCGATATTCAATGTGTTACAATGTCACATAATAGAGTCTGCTCGGCAACACTAAATTATATTTTTTTCCTGAAACTAATATATTACACTTGCACACACTGATAATGCTCCACCGATTTCAATTTGAAGTTCAAGATTATTGTCATGAAATTACCCAAAACAACATGTGATTTAACAAATATTTTATTACCATGAACTACCTAACAAATTTTATTTGTTTTTTTAAAGTTTCTATATAATTTAGAAGAACATTATATGTATGATGCATCCACTAAGTAGTTGTTATTTAATTACATACATATGTAGAACAGCTACAAATATCTTTCACCATACTATCCTCGTCTTTTATACTGTCAGTACTTATGCGTAACTGCCCAAGGGCTGATCGCATTCACTTTCACCAATTCATTTGTGTCGCCAGTTTTTATACCCGAACGTGTGGTACAAATCTTACGGGTTTCATTGTAAATTGGAACTTAAAGTGTAACCTGGGACACAATTACTTAGTCCTAACGGTTTAGTATCCCTAGGTGCTTCCAAAATTACTACTTTTTGTTGATTTTTAATTCATTTGTTTGCATAATTACCCATAATTCGTTGATAAAATACACATTTCCCTCAGTCTGGGTAACCAGTTTAAGACTTTAATATATATGATGTTAGTGTCGTTGAGTTTGTATCTGAATCTACCACGATATAGTGATGAATGAATGGATACAACAAAGGTTTCCCCGATAAAGAGCCTGAGTGTCGCCGGAGGCAGAAGCTGTCTTGAGAGATTATCGGTTAACAGGCAACATATGCAAATTCGCCTATGCTGATTTGCGTTTGTTCAACGTTCACATCTTCTACGTCACTCCTCAGTTTAGGTTAGACAAAATGTAATTTTAGAAAGGCCTTGCTGGTGTTGTGTGTAACCACCTTTATCTGTATGAAGTGTCACGAAATTGCAACAAACGTATAAGTCGCTTAATTTGTATAGGTAAGCATTTATAAGCCGTATAATATATGGCTATCCAAGACAGCAGCCATTAATCAACCCTAAATTAGCTATATAGCTTATCTGCACAAACTATGTGTCATTGGCAGTATATGTATCAAATCGAAAAGTATATATTGTTGAGCGTATAGTAGAAGTATTTTATATTATACTACTAAAGTTTCACAACAAAAAAGTATGATTTGTAAAGCATGCTAGGAAATGATATAGTCTGGTGTCACAAATTTTCGGTTCAGTTTTGTCGCAAAAGACAATTTTAAAAGCATAAACAATAAAACATGAATGTATATGAATTATACAATACTTCCCTTACTTTTCTGTCAAACATTACAATAATATTTATAATTTTATTATGCTTTGGAATTTATTTTTTCCTAATTTGCTGGTTGTATATGCCTTTTGACAAATATTTATTTAATCAATGTTTTAGTATACCCTGGATAGTCTACAGTCAATAATGACAAATTAGAATTCATTGTTACTATGTGTTTATTATTTGAGTACAACAGAAAGACTTGGAAGGGATAAAGAATATACGTGTAGTTGATTTTGTTGTATAAACTCGTTCAGTCATTGATAGAAGATATACATGATGTATTGCCGGCGCATCATTTTGAAATCTTGAAGGAAGACCCTTTCGCATTCAAAAAATGTATATTAATTTTATTTTTTCCTCTTGTATGCATGCATTCATCGGTAACATGCACAACAATCAATTATTATAATAGCTAGCATTCTCGAAAGAAAAATCAAAAGATGGCGTTTTCAAGAAAGACACTGATTTACTCTTCTTCCGCTCAGGCAACCCCCGGAGGCAATTCCGTATAAACATTGTCTTCTGTTACCGTTATTGTATTTAGGCAAGGTATATAACAGTATATACTGTAAAACATGTTGAAAAAGCGGCATGCAATTTTAGCAAATTGTGGTAAAATGACGTAATAGCGAAATGTTGATTTAGCGAATCTCTCTTCTTGTTATTTCTGATTTCTTTGTTTGGCGGTCATTTTTAATTGATAATAAAGTCATTAGTGACATCTTGAATTAGCGAACCAGTTCTCTCGCTAAATTCGCGAAAAAAGACAAGCTCGCGAAAAAAACATCTTTTACAGTATACGGTAATTGAGGAATTGACGACATAAATATTGAAACTCTACAGCACTGTTTCGTAAGGTACAAATACCTCACTCATCAGATTTAATTAATATATATATTAATATATATCAAAATAATACACGTGTCAAGGTGTTGCGTGTCTCCTCCACCGGTTCTAATGACTTGGATTCCACTTTTCCGCATGGTGTATACTGCCCTCAGCGGTATTTGTTTGACCGTGACTGGAACTGGATAGACTGGACAAGCTGAGGAATAACTAGTCTGTACCACTGGTTCAAAAGTCATGACGTCACGAAGTATAGGAATTATACAAGAAATGTAACATTTTCTTTACAATTTCATTCTATTCTATTCTATTCTATTCTATTCTATTCTATTCTATTCTATTCTATTCTATTCTATTCTATTCTATTCTATTCTATTCTATTCTATTCTATTCTATTCTATTCTATTCTATGCTATTCTATGCTATGCTAGCGGGAAAGCTTTATTACACTTCGTATAATTTTTACATGTAGAAATGCATGAACATGGATGGTTCCTTAACAACCAATCGCAAAATTCTGCAAATTACTGACAATTTATCGTAAGTCATTGTCGCGAAGTGAAAATTTCTCGTCCGGTTGTCCTACAACAATGGAATGTCAGTGACTTTCGCAAAATGTTCTATTCACGAATGCCATCAAATCATGTACATGTTTAGAAGCGTAAATTAAATATTTCACAGTACAACATGTACTAGTAAACAAGTCATTGTACCTTAACTTGAAGCACCCCTCGTACATGAATGGCATAGTCCACCTTTCTGTGTACTATGTTACTGACCTTCGGATATTCGTCAGGGTCAAACAACTGAACATCTATACCGGCGTACACACATGTCGGTTTTCGATGTGCCGTGCTCATACTGATCTATCCCACTACGCGATGAGGTAACTGTGTTCGAGCAATATAAACACAAATTAGCGTACGCGATGTGCGAAACGAGTCATTCGGCTTTCGGCGTACAGAAATCGGAGTTCGGATTCAGTTATGATGACCCATCTGCGTTTGTTAGATCACAGGTACGTGTATCGTATGTTTTGAACACATGGAATCTAACTCATTAACATTTACTCAAACTGTTACGTTGAATATGATTACGTGCCACTGCGGCATCCATCTGTGTAGCTCAACAGCTTGATTACGTCACGAAATTCAAAACATGCGGTAGCATGTTAGATATGTGCATGTGAATGTAAATCTCAATTGAATGAGTTCACATCTTCTACAGAACGAATTGCACGCCATCTTTTGTATTCACCATTTGTTGTTGATTCCATGTGCCCGTTCGTTAACCCCTGTTGTCCGGACTGCATTACGTACGTTGACTGACTGGCACGGAATTCTACGACTGTGTCAACGCTACATTGCTTCAATTCAAGCTGGAAGATTTCTTTTAACTGTTTTAAATAGCTGTTAATTGTATTTATAGTTTTGTACGTAATCAGGTCATTTCACATTAAGAACACTGGCGGTTTCGGGACTTAACGTATTCGTGCTCATCGGTCAGAGGGTGCTTTCGACGATTCCCAGATTTGTTATTACATTACGCCCGTATCGATAATCAGCCAAGGCAATGTGGGCATTATTAATTAAACTACCTTTGCATACATAGTTGTGATCGCTTAATTTGATTGACACGTGATACACAGGAGATGCAGTGGCGCTGTTTTTTTCAGTGCAATAGAGCTTGCTGGGAAATTAAATTACAGGAACAATATGTGGTATGGAATTCCCGTCACCGATGCTAACCAGTACTGTAAACAGTCATGACAAACAATATAATAAATAAAGCCTGTAAATATTACTCAACTCGTGCCAACAAATACATTTGATTCCAGTCTAGTCCATTTTCACACAGAGGGGTGTGTCGCTATGTTTCAAAACTATGGACTATAGCTCGTACACACACAAAATATGTTAAATTTTATAAGTTCGGCAACTTACTATCACCGGGAAATCTATTTTTAAGTACCTTATTTCGGTTTCAGACGAGCGGCATTTTTCGACATTTCAATTATTTCCAATTATTCCTATTAGTGTGGTTTTAGATGGTCCATTCAAACAAACTAATTCTGTTAAATGAACAGAAGTTTCGGCCACCATTTGCCACCCGGAATTTTCGCCACAGAACTTTCGGCCACACACATATTTATTTATTTATAACTCGTAAGTTGCATGGAAGACCTAATTGTATTAATGGTGACTGGAAAATCTTACATTCGTGTTTACACATTCTGCAGATTTCCACAAATGACACAGATTAAAGAACATAGAAATTGTTACATTTATTTCTATCGAAGATATCATATATTAAGATATTTATATTAAGAGATATCAAGCTATGTTAACCATTCACATCCTCTTTTAAAATGGAATTCCAGATATATTTGAATTATGTAAAACTTGACAAATTGTGAGAAATGAATTTAATTATTCTATGCCGATTTCACATTCTAACACAAAACTAAAACAATATTTTGTTAGCTCCATGGGTCATAGGAAAAATTATTCTCACTGTCAATATAATATATAATGGTACTCGTCTATGGAACTCATTACTCATGCCAATAACACACACACAAAACATGTTCATATTATTATAATGGTTTAACATCATATTCATTTCTCAGTAGAGTTATGTATTATGATTCATCTCTGAGATTTATGTGTGTAATGATGATTGCATTGTGAAAAATTTAATTGTTCGTGGTAGAAATAAATAAATTAATAAAACAAAAACAAATAGTAAAATTGTTCACCGAGAGGAAATGCGATGTGAAGATTATCCGAAATGAAAATGAGTGCCAAGAATACACTTGTAATCAGTTCAAGGTTATTTGTATGCTGAGCATTTTCACGTTGACACGACTTTATTTATTCCAGACTGATCTTAAGAATTTGATTTCTGTATTCTGTTGATAAAGATTTCATGTGAACTGTAGACCCCCCCCCCCAACAATTTAAAATTTAATTCACTGTCTATGTCACTCGCGTATATCAGTTACTGATCCTGTGTTATACTGTCCTCAATGGTATTTTCTAATCTACACGGCACGGCGGCAGGTGACTGGCAGTCTAGCTACACTTATGGTACTTCCAGCGATCAGTGTTTTGTTTACAAATTATACAATGTGATAACGCATCAACAACTACATATTTGATTATGTATAAGCTGTTACACTTGTTTACGTTTTTCGCGCGTGAGCATGCGCAGTGACTGGTTGGCAAGAATTGGTCGTTTGCATCATAAGATTATAGTGGCCTTGTCTGTTGTTATTGTCATTGAATACTAGTATACATGTAAGCTAAAGTAACTCACGGACAACGTTGTTACGCAATATCGTGAGTTAGTTTTCACAGTGACATTTGTTATTACATATATATTCAATATATTACATATATTATCAAATTATATACAATACTTAAAGTTGTATTCTGTTCGTTCCGTAGTTTCGAAACTTGTCGCCATGGATCCTGGTTGGATACCGCGTATCAATATCTATTTACGTCAACGTCTGCTTCACGGTATACATGGCAACAAGCTCCACGGAGATCGGATGGAATGTACTCATCTATTATCCTAATTGGTCGTTCCTATTCTTAGCTCTGTATTTATCTGTTTCTACGTTGTCAATTATTCATTACCATATCACCAACAGATATCGCCATAGAGGTAAGTATTTTTCTGTATTTGTTTTTATAAAACCACATGCTGTACTTTTGACACCTGGATTAAGTTTTATTGTATGTTAATCATAACATGTAGCAAAGTGATTCATGATTTCCAAGCTACAATTGAATTTTATACTAGAAATTCCGACATGCAACGCAGTTTTGAATGTACAGTGACAGCTACATGCAATAACAATATGTGTTGCATTGGGTATATGACACATACATCAATATTTTATATTTACCGATATTTTGGGCCCAACACAAACGGTTAATGGGCGGTAGTCGTCGCGCCGCCCATGTGCGACATTTGTGTTGATCATAAACATTGATTTTCCCATAATCCAATGCACTTTTCTGACAGAAATCGCGCAATGTGCACTAAATACCATTGATGACTTACATAGTTAAAGTTTAGTAACGTCTCAGTTTGTATTCGTCGGTATGCACAACAGTCAAAGTCGCCATCTTTGTTCATATGAGTCCCATATCTCGCGCATGCTTGGCGCGACGACCACCGCCCTATCCTCGGGGGCGGACATCCGGGCATTTTCACCGCCTGGCAACCTGCGGCGGTGAAAACAAAGGCCCAAAACTCGCAGAAAACGGTACTTTGGGATAACTGTTGACACTCCTCTGAACAGTGTAACAAGATTAGCCCTACGTGTGTAACATATATAAGTTTGGTTGTTTGGGATTACTTCAAAGTTGAGTTTGTGTTGTTTTTTCGAATTTTCACCGGCTCGACCGGCGTTCCACAGCAGCGCGCACAGAGCCCATAGAAATGCATGTACAGTGGTGGTGCGCGTCGTAGCAACGTAGAACGTCTTGTGCCGTAGCCCCGCCCCCGAGGATAAGAGACGCATAATAACATGCGCTGGTTGACGTCAGCAGTACATCGAGGGATATTTCATGACCTATCACCAGGAAAACATGTCATTGTCATATATTAATAACATGAACTTCTCTGCATGCATTTAATATCTAGGAAGATGGCGAGAAAACGATTACAGCGAATGGCAACCTTTGACCTGTGATGTCACACAGCTGCTTTCAACACCATGCCATTATCGACTGAGCTGGTTTCTGTACAATATATCAATGGTGTCTTCGCTCGGTGTTACCACAACCTACCTCCTGACAAACGAAAATCTGATCGGCAGAGTCAGCAAGTTTGCTTGTCTTCAAATTTATTTTATAAATACAATCGTAGCATTAATAGAAGTAATATTTTCGGCCATGCCGACAAGAATAGCACACGTTATTTACATATTGCTTATTCTCTTACTGTATACAATTGTGACTGTTGTATGTTTCGCCGTTGGTGGCGCTGAAGGCACACAAAGTCTTCTGTACTCATTTCTTGATTACGGGGAGAATCCTGAGCTCTCTGTCCTTATATTATTGCTTATGTTTCTCGGTGCAATAACGTTTCATATTTTACTATGGGTTATTTTTAAGCTGAAAATATATATTTCTCTTGAAGGAAAAGGTGATTACGATTCGATGTCCCCGCGTTTTTCCAGTGCAGAATCTAGTGGTAATTACGGATCTAGAGAGCCTAAAACAGAGGTTGCTATGGGCCCCTCAAGTTTGCCATGAACTACTTATTTAGTTCGTAATATGCATGAAAATATACCAAAGCGGAGCCAACTTGAAGCTCATCTATTGAAATCCATTACATCACCAAAGTTATTCGGTCCCGCCTGACAAACAAGGTACCATGAACACATTTGGGTCGAGTATTGGTTTTTGCCGTATGTGATATTTGGGATTTGATTTATAATGTACTAGCTTGGTGTGAATGACTCGTCATATTGGTATAGTTTTGGTATGTAAATTTACAGATACATATAGCCAGCAACTACTTACCGCTTGTGAAAAACTGATCTGCGATTCTCGTAGAAACACGAGTGCTCTCCTGGTGGTCTGGATAGGTCGACACATTGCGACTCATAACATTGGTGGCCACAAATTGAAAACAAATTCGCTGCGAAATTGAAAATATAAGGGGGTTTTTAAATTTATTTTTATTTGTTATAAAACGAATCCATAATAGTGATAATTAAAGAAACATCTCAAACACCCGTGTTAAAACAGCGCCAATGTTTCCATCATGCCAGTGACTTTCTTGGGTATCATATACCAGCATTACGTCATACCCCTAAAGGTCACACATCCTAGTACAGGCAATAAGTTCTTATACTTCAGAGGAAATGATTGAGAAAATCTTCATTTTCAGTTAATTGTTACCGCCTGATTGTACCAGGATGTTTAACCTTTCGTATGGTCATTCATAAAGACATTGGCACGTTTACCGCTGTTTTATTTTGCCATCTTACATAAAATGAGTGAGACGCTTTATAAAAAAAAGCCTGGTATGAATTATAAAATTGTACAACAAACTACGTATTCAGTCATGTTGACCAACAGTTTAGTGGGCAGGGGGTCGTGAAAGGGTAAGTGTTCTTGTATATGACGTCATGCACCAACATACTGAGAAAAACATTTACATGTGTTTTGAATTGCCTACTAGTAGTTCATTACTTTCTGAAAAATATTTGCGATGTAGCTCATATTGTATAAAGTGTATTTTTTAGTAAAAGATATTTACGGAGAGTAAAATTACAATTCTCTCTTTTTTTTATCTAGAATTACCGATTTTAATACCGGTTATTTGTTAAAATGTCGGATTTAGTATTGCTTTGAATATGACTGTCATATAGAAATCGATGATAACATGACAAATGACATTTTATCCCCGGAGTGATTAAACAATTCACCTTCACGTCCTTAGATTGTTTACCGTTCTTAATATGTTTTGAATATATTATGTAACGTGTTGTGATGAACATTAAAATCCATATTGTCAAACTGGAGTATTCTTACTTCTATGCCTTCACACATACACACACACACATGCAGGTTTCTACTACTGGTCTTACGTGTTGTAACATGAAATCAGTACAAGTATGTACGTGGTACGTTTCATGTATCCCACAATTCATCCCAAGACGGAAGTTATTTAAACGAAGAAATAAAACTGCTTCTTCAATTTAGATGAAGTACACGTTAGGAAAACATGGCACACAGAGTGCTCTAAAAGATTATTTTAAAGCGGGGGAGTTGTCACCTGCGCATGCGTCAGATGGTCACAGCGTGTCATTGTTTACAAACAAGTGTCTATCCATGAGCCTTTGCGTTTCTAGCGTGTGTTGTTACCATCGTTTAGGACTCAATTTCCGCCCGCCCGCCCTCAAGCTTTAACAGAATAGCACAAGATTGGGGACGCGTTTACATTTTATCAAATAATTATGAAGTGAATTTCTCTGAATTGTGATTTCTCTGACTGCTTAATCGTCACGCTAAATTAGTAAAATTAGTTGCATTTGAATTCAATTCTCAGGGGCGGACATCCGGGCATTTTTACCGCATGGCAACCATCACGGTTTAAACATAGGCCGAAAACTCACAGAAAACAGTTCTTTGGGATGGTTGTTGGGACTTCCCTGAACAGTGTAACAAGGTTACCCCTGCGTGTGTAACGCATATAAATTTGATTGTTCAGGATTACTTCAAAGTTGAGTTCCTGTTGTTTTCTCGAATTTTCACAGGCACTTCGCTCGGCGTTCCGCGTTCCTCAGCAGCGCGCACAGAGCCCGTAGAAATACGTGGTACAGTGGTGCGCGTCTTAGCAACGTTGAACGTCCGTGACGTAGCTCCGCCCCCGATGATAGGAACTCAAGTCAGTGTAAATGTATACTCAAAATCCTAAAACGAAACCAATGAGGAAATTAATTGAAGATGAACTCGCATGGGACATTGTTGACTCATAAAATTGGCCTATTGGGTTCTCTATGATTAATTGTCAGTCAGTTTGCCATTGACGGTATCATGCTGGCATCTGCCACGTGTATATTGGAGAATTATCGGCCGCGAAAATTCAAATTAACAGTTTTCCATTTATTTCGATCATGTCTGTTTGTCGCGGTTAATGTCTTCGCCAGTGGTCTGAAGGTCTCATACCTATCAGCGTCCTTAGCTGTTCGCTTAAATCATAGTTCTTGTTCGCCAATGGGTGTTTTTCATGGCGTTTTAGTATCTGAAACGCGATGTGTGATGGCGTACTTAATTTACGTCAGTTTTTTTTTATTGGAGAGTACCGGTGACCCGTGAATATAGGCTGACGTTTTTTACGAATATTGAAGGTAGACAGCCTGATAAGTCTGTGTATTTTGTTTACATCATTTTGTAGGATTTTTAGCTGGCTAACATGTGCTTTTCTGGCCAAAATTCCATGTGGTTTTAACAAATTAAAACACTATTTTGAACTTTGTAACCTGTTTCTTTTTTAGAAATTCATTGCTTGGAATTCTAAGTAGTAGCATGAGCCCTAAATAAACACGGTTTTGTCAATGAAAATCTTCGCCAGCTAAGGACCATTTATTCGGCCGAAGCCTCAACAATAACCATGGGTTCGTGGACCGGTTATGAATGACCGGCTTTAGCGAAACTTTGCGATTCGGACGATGGTCAATGAAGTGCGCCCTCGTTTCTAGGATGTTGAGTAAAGGTCGGACAATTGTTAATGTAAAACAGCTGGGCAATGCACCCGATGGGCGTTAAAATTGATTCCGACTATCGTTCCAGTGAACCAAGAGGACATGTCTATATTTTCTCATATATATGTGTTTAAATTCTAACAATACCCTAATAAGGCTATAAATTGTGCACGTGATTACAGCATGTGACTATAGGTCATACCCGAGACATGGTGTTTTGAATTGCACGAATCGTGCTGTGCGAAAGCCTTAACAATTACACTATGACTTGCTGTTGTGTAACCGCTGGAAAAGACCTCAGTCTAAGTTATGAAGACCCAGATGTATTCTGTAGGACACAGGTAAGAACAAAAACACTTCAAGTCGCAATAATTTAGTCGAATAACAATGTTCAAGTTCACCTTGAGTGCGGTCGGAAAGTGTTTCGAATTGTATACGATCGAAGGTCGTTTGTTGTTACATATGCCTCAAATTACACATTTTAAAATATACAGAATGTACCTTAGTTCTCACTAAAGGAAGTATAGCGTTGTGTGTATAAATGAACGAACACACTAAGTCACACTAAAATCATGTGATTGTGAGGTGACCCTAGGAAGACCTTTGCGGTTTTTAAATCTGTTCGTATGAGGGCGCATTGTTTGGAAACCGTGTATATAATAGCAGTCATTTGTCAACCAATTTCTTGCAGTGGCGCTGTATTCCTCGCTGGCTGTTTGTCGCCTACAGAATCGTCGTTGCGACGTACTTCTTTGGTTTTGGCATTACTTACTTGATCGTTTCCATGGTGAATGGAATGGGCGGTGACTTTTTTGTCTTTCTCACAAACTGGGGATTCATCGTTGTTACAATATACTTCCTGTTTGCTGCCATCTCCACTTTGATTCATGTCAAAGAGAACCCACGAACACCATCCTACAGTCAGGGTAAGTAGTTGGTTTGTAAAGATGTGGAGCTGCATTTCGTTGTCAATTGTTGTTCGCAAATTAACAATGTGTACGTAACAATTCAACAGTGGTAAATATATCTGGATCATTTTGTTCCATTTCCTTAACAGTTGACCCTTGTATTATATTGGTTGTCAAATATAATTAATTTGTCATTGTATATGATACCTGACAATGTTAACATTGAAGTTCATTTTTTATTTTGAACATTGAATATGTTGTTGCGGAGAAAATAAGGAGTAATTTGCGCCAATGGCAAACTGAATAACATTAACTTGTTCTTGTGCAGCATGTATGTTTTATTATTACACCTGTTCCTCTAGAAGATACCCTCTCACAGTCTTTGAACAAAGCTCCCCGTTTCTCGATGATATAATTACAAGTTTCTGATTTGTCATTAAACTTCTAGAGCCTGAAGACCCGGATGAGACAACACCGCTAACTGACAGAACGGCAACTCGATGTAGACCGACGCCGTGGTACTGCAAGGTGACATGGTGTTTCTTCAATGTGGCGGCTTTGGCGTCTTTAGTCGTCACGCTTGTTTACTGGCCAGCGTTGTCAGGATTCAGCGATGAAATGAACATCCCGTTTGTGCTAGATTTCCACTTGCACGCTCTGCCCTCAGTTGTTATAGTACTGGAACTGATATTAGCCGCGATGCCAATACGTATGATGCATGCTTTTTACACCGTATTGATTGGCATCGTTTATATTATAATGACGGTCATTATTTACTATTCGGGGTGGCAAAATCCATATGATGACAAACCGTATGTTTACCCTTTTCTCGATTATGCAGAGAATCCTGGGATCGCTATTGGTGCAAGCATCGGGATCTTCGTCGGGCTGTTTCTGCTGCAAACTAGTCTATGGGCGCTTTTTAAAGTCAAGCTGTATTTAGCAAGGAATCGGCAGCCAATAACAGACCAGCCGCATTCGCCTCGTTCCTCGATCGCGGAGAAGACGGAGACGGATGATAGCGGTAAAGTATACTTCAAGAAGGTAGATGAGGAAGACGAAGTGTCATCTGAAGCAATAAAAACATAGAATTGATAACTAATAGCTAGTCGTCTATTGAAAGCTCATCGTGACATATTATGAACAATGAGTTTTGTTATTATACTAGTAGTGCATTTGAAATTCTAAACAAAGAATAGAAGAACTATCGCCGTGGAACGAGGGTCCGCCAACGATTGAATTAATATTTTACAATTAGTTTATGGGGATTATTTATTGTTTTAATAATTTAATATAATTATATGCTGAATGCACAGCACTATTTACAAATGAAAAGCGTCCTCGTTACATGTACGACAACATACAGAGACACACAAATGGCGCAGTATTCATTCCTAGTTTATTTGATCCAAAATGTTGCGTGTTGTCTCTGTTATCGTAATGTGTGGATTTTTACGCCACTCAATATTGTGTTTTACTAACAACAGAATGCCCTCCAAGACATCTGTACGCCACACTTATAATTTCATTTTAGCGTTTTTGTGTTAAAATATGTTTAGTAATACACGATGGCTGTGGAATCTCATCTTATTCAATTTTGCAACATATTATTGTGTGCGATAACATAAAAAATACCGCTGTAAAACGTAAAGATTGATTAATGTATCATGGTTCAAGTTTACAGTTTATAGTAATCGATTTTCGTCTTGGCGTTTTATTATTTTCATCACAA